ACAGTATTTTTACAGTCTTTATTTTACAGTTAAAATAAATGTTTATCAAATAAAGTCTAATGTTACAACTAATCAGGAATCCCTTTAAAGAACGATGATCCCAACCTTATCTCAGACATTAACATTATTAACAACTCGGAGTCGAGGGATCTCATTAAATCTGGAGGTTGTTGCCAAACAATAGCACAGTAATAAAAAAGTTCACAAAGGCTTTAAAAAAATCTTAATGGCTTTTGATTCAGGTTTGCATGACACATTACACAAAGTATGGAAAATTAGCTTTTCCAGATTTTATTACATTTTTACATTGTATGAAAAATAAATAATGCTTTGCTGAATGAGCAGAATATATTTATTTTTTTAATATTGACTTTCAGAAAATAAATATACAATAAAAGTGATCATTAACTACTGGGGCTGACAAATTTAAGAAAGGAACACAAAAAAATTAAGTTTTAAGCTTGTGACTAAAACCTTAAGATGAAAAACATACAGACTCATGTATTAGTGCTTTTTGGAGGGAGGGGTTTCATTTATAAAATCAAGAGATTTTGGCTTAGTAAAAAGCTTGCATGTAATATTTTCCACATACAAAATACATAATAAGATAATCAAACACCACTGTATAGAAACTGTAAGTCCTTTTTAAAAATGCTAATGTTTTTAACCCCGCGAATGTTTAAAAATCAACTGAAACTTTAGCATGTTGTCCATCTCTTTCTCACTGTTTGTTTCCAGTCAGAATAAATGCTTTTAAAAACATTTGCAACAAAGTTTTTGTGGTTAAAAAGTTATCAGTAAAATTGAAACCTTCAAATCACTGCATCTTTTTGGTACTTTTCACAAATGTTTTTTCTTTTCATATGATTTCTAATAAAGCAATGATTCACWTCATGCCAGATGCTCAGTTTGATGTTTCAGTCAAGTAGACGAACACCAGTGCTTATTTTTAGTTTTGCTTGGAGCTTCTTCTTTTTTTTTAAAACACCCACATAGGCATTGATGTTGATGGTTCTCTTGAATGGCAGAACATCCTCGTCCTGCTGGACCTTTTTGTAATCCATGTGTAAAACTGTGTAATCTGTCGGTTGCTTCTACAGTTTTCTGCTTGACTTTTTTATGCTGAAAATTAGCAGGGTCCTAACATCTCTTGTTCACATCGCTAATTAAAATTAGCTTTTAATTTTAATGCCAAAATATCTTAACTGTTTATTGGTGTTTCACATGCAAGAATGCTTTTTCTTTTTTAAAGTAATATTTGTGTTTATTAATTTTAGTTCAACACAACATAAAGTAAATTGTAACTATGTCTTGATTTCCAACATATATTCAGTTTCTTATTTTTATGACTTTTCTAATTTGGGTTTGGAGAAAAAGGGCATGAATCAAATGCTGCAGGAGACTGTATTTAACTGTATTTAAGATTTCACATTTGCATGTTAATGACTGGTTTGTATTCAGTTGTTTTTATTTATTTTTTGCAGGCTCACTCCCATGTAAACTTCATGTCCACTCTGCTGCGTATCACCATGTCTGATCAGCTGGATTTACCTGTCAGACAAGCAGGTGAGGCCTAATTATTTTTAGATAATACATATAAAACTCTGACTAGATTACTTTATATTGTTCTTAATGTGTGTTTTTTGTCATGTTCATGTAATTTCTAGTAATAATTTTTACACTAAGCTTTGTAACGGAAGTTTACGGCAGATATTCGTGTTAAATTTCACAATGTTTTTGCATATAAAAAAATACCACTTGATCAGGAAATGAAACCTTCCTGGTGTCATTGTGTTCTTGCATGAGAGTCAAATTTTTACGTCTTTTTATGAACTGGAAAAATTGACTGGTGATTATTTATGACCTCATGTTAAGACTCAGAAGTTTTAAAGTAAGGTGATTGAATACGTGAGTCAGAATGGGGTTTTAGTAAAAGTGCCCTTTTTAAGTTGAATACACAAACAAAGCTCGCTAAAAATAACTTGTTTTTGGTCAAATGCAAGTATGAAGAGTTCACAGATTTAAGTCAGTCTGTTTTCTTTTAACCCTCCAGATTTTTTTAATGCTCTGAAATAAAGATAACATGCAGTTTTTTACAATGTGCACTTTTTATCTGTAGAAGATTTCCTGACAGCCTGAAACAGGATCAGCTCCTTCAGACAGAAGCGGTTGGAAGAATCTCAAAAGAGATGCCAGTTAAACATTTTGTCTGGATTCATCATCACCACGTTTAGTAAACCTCTTTAGTTGGCCAGACTGTTGTTTGGAGCCTTGGTGCTGACAGTCAGTCATGGAAACGCTTGTCTTCACTGCTATTGATGATATTTTATTTGATTGACAGTTGTTGTATAATTGCATGGAGCCCAACTAGATGTGTGCTGCTGGATGAGCTGTTTTGGGATTTGTTCCCTAAAAGAAAAAAACAATTTATGTGGGAACCATTTTGTTTGATGGCTGACATTTTTTTGTTTGTTTCCTTTCCTTTTTTAAAAAAAGATAAAGTTTTGCCATGTTAACTAAGGAAACCACCAGTAAACAGAGAGTTCTGGTCTGCATTCCTACCCTCACCTACACACATGTCTGCCACGTTTGATCGAGTAAAGAGGCTCACAGCTGATCTCCGTAATTGACCTGAATTTTTTCTCAATCAATAATCGGGGTGAAATCGCCCAGTCCTACCTACGGCCATGAACTCTGGGCAGTGATACAAGTGGTCAAAATGAGTTTTCTCTGCAGGGTAGCTGGACTCTGCCTTTTGAGATGGGGTGTTCAGTTCATTTATCCGGGAGAGACTAGAATAGAGCCACTGCTCCTCCACATCAAGAGGAACCAGATGTGGTTCTGATAAGGATGCCTCCTGGACGCCTCCCAAGGGAGGTGTTTCAGGTAGGTCAGATTGGGAGTAGACCCCAGGGAAGACCCAGGACACGCTGGAGAGACTGCCTATCGTCTGGCCTGGGAATGCCTTTGAATCCTTCCAGAAGAGCCTGAAGAGGTGGCTGGGGAAATAGAGGTCTGGGCCTCCCAGCTCTGCAATGATTAATCGACTAGTCGAGTATTTTAATAGTCAATTAGTRGTTGACTAATCATGGCAGCCCTACAAGGCAGAACTTGCCTTCCACGCCAGTTATTTTTAGTTAGCATATAGCTAAAATCTGACGATGGTTATATAATATCAGCTGTATTCTGGCACGATAAGCTGTATGTTTTAAATTCAATTAACGTATGATCCGATTAGTTCAGTGTTTCCCAAAGTTGGGGTCTGCACCCAAAGTGGAGTCCTGAAAAGATTTTCTGAATTAATCACATTTCTGCCTTAGTTGTTACAAAGCAGTGAGGTTAGWATATTTAAAATGGATAAATGTAGTATAAAAAAATCTTGTTACTATGCCCAGTTGACCTGATTCAAATGTTTACCATCCAAAAATAGTTGTGGACACAGGTCTCTCTGCCACTGTTAATTTGTGGGTCAAAAGCTGAAAAGTTTGGGAACACTGCACTTTGGTTCCCAAAGTTGGGCTTGGGACCCAATTATGGGTCATGAAGCACCTTGGATAATCTCCAGAAATCAATTTAAAGGGTAATAAAATAATTGCTGATGTAATATTTTCCCTATAACTATTACAAAAACACAAAATAAGTATAAATATTTATTTGTGTACAAATTGTTTAGATTGTCAAAAAGCCTGTGTTTTTAGGGTTATAAACGAAGTTCGTGTACTCAGACTAGTAATATTTGGGGTCACAAGTTTTTGCCATGYATATTTTGTGGGTCAGAAGATAAAAAGTTTGGGAACCACTGGATTAGTTGACTAATCAAAAAATAATTATCGGTGATTAGTCTACTAAATAGTCGTTTGTGGCAGCCCCTGCGACCRGACTCTGYAACAAGCGATAGYTGATMGYTGGAYTTAAGGAAATGATTACGTACTGTAACAACTTGACATTGGCAAAACACTAAATTCTGCAGCTTGTGTGSTGTTWGCKTTAAGTGATTCATTATAATTTTGTAGTAACCTTTTGTGTTTTTATTTAGTGTAAAATTGTTTTGGCATTTGTCTTAATTCCAGAAGTAAACTCTCCAATTTTGAACTGAATTTATTTAACTTTTAAACTTTGAAATGTTTATTTTCCTCATGAATCAATTGAAGTTACAGTTGCTGTGTGGCGCAGTTGTGGGTGGGATGACAGGGTTTATGTCGGCCTTTTATAAGCTGGATTATCATCACCTCGTCTGTAAAGTAGACCTTRGTGTCAGCACTTTGACGTCTGGCTTCACATCTTTACTCTYTGAAATGCCTCTCCCTGTGCGTCACAGAGCCGTGCGCAGCCCCCACGCTGTAGARGTGAACTCACTCCGGTGCTACATTCAAGACTACACGTGGAAAAATTCATCTKTTTTGTGTAGCCTCTGCTTTTAATGGTTTGGTTACGCTGATGGAGTCTGGCTCACGTTCGGTTTAGTTAATGTGGGCATCAGCGATCGTTAAGTTTGCATTTGTCGCTGTGGTTCAGGTGTATTTTACATTTGATTAATGCTCTGAAGATACTGTGAAAGCCTGACCTCTGGTCTCTTCCTGTGTAGGAGTGATTTACCTTAAGAACAAGATAGTTCAGCACTGGAGTGATGGAGACTCTTCAGGCACAGAGCCGCCCGTTAATAACATCCCAGAGGAAGACAGGCAGTTCATTCGAGACAACATAGTGGAGGCCATCATCCAGTCCCCTGAGCGCATCAGGTAACCACTTACCCTGCTGGCTGTGATGCGAGCTAGAGGAACTCCAGTTTCATCACGCATCCATTTCTCCCTTCCCGTTTTTACTTCTCGTATTTTTTGTCTCTTTTGAAATCTTAAATCTGCCCTTTTTAAACTCGCCAGGGTCCAGTTGACGACGTGTATCCACCACATGATCAAGCACGACTACCCCGGCAAGTGGACGAGCATCGTGGACAAGATCGCCTTCTATCTGCAGTCAGACAACAGTTTAGGATGGCTGGGCATCCTGCTCTGCCTTTACCAGCTCGTCAAAAACTACGAGTGAGTCGGAGCTCCGTTTTTCTTATTTATTTTTTTAAACCTCTTCGAGCAGCACGTGTGGTGGAACCGACATGCTGTTTCCTGACACAGATACAAGAAACCAGAGGAGCGTCAGCCTCTCGTGGCGGCCATGCACATCTTCATGCCCATGCTGAAAGATCGCTGCATCCAGCTGCTGCCAGACCACTCCAGTGATTCTGTCCTCATACAGAAACAGATCTTCAAAATCCTCTACGCCCTCTTCCAGGTAATTAGACGGGAGTTTGACCATGACTTTAAAAAAAAACGCACACAAGCACCTGGGTCCATGTATTGTTGGTCGTTTGATTTTTCGTTTTAAAAACAGATATAGAAAAATAAAAAAAACGATGGTTATTTTTGCTTTCCTATTATGCTCCAAAAATGCAAAAATATATTTTTTCCTCAAACTGGAAGTTTAACTTTGTTGCTATCAGACTATTTAAGGTGGAGCTAGGTAAATAAWTTTTTAATAACCCTTAAATAAGACCTAAGCTCTAGCTACTACTCTTGCATTTCTTTAGCTAACTACAGACTGTGATTTTTGTTTTTTGTTATTGACACTAGTCTAGCTCAGAGGTTCTCAAACTACGGTCTCAGGACCCCCATGGGTCTGCGAGAGGTATCTTGGGGGTCCTCAAAAAATCTCACAAAATTGTTAATTTGTTTTTTATTTTTAAAAATGCATGGACTAATAAAAACAAACATCATAAWCTTTAAAAATATATATATTCCCATGGCATTTAGGGGTTGAAATGACAAATTGTCTTTTAAAACGGCATGGGGTTTATGAGGGGGGGTCCCTGGAATTATTTCGCCCTTGAAAGGGGTCCCCAGACCCAAATGGCTTGAGCACCCCTCTGGCTAATTAAAAAAAAAGTTATCTAGCTTCATTTTAATTGGTCCAATAATGGGATAAAATGACCACATTTTGTTTTCTAGCTAGCTAACCAGACAGCAATAAATAAATGCTAGATAACTAGTTTTACATTCTTCATCAGGTGTCAGCTTATTTGTTTTATTTTATTGACCTTTATTGTTTCTCAGTGGGGAAATTAATTCTCTGCATTTTTCCCAGCACACGTGAAGCAGTGAGGTGCCATTTTTGCGGCGCCTGGGGAGCAGCTGAGGGGTTAAGGGCCTTTTCTCACAGGCCCAGAGTGGGGCTGCTCAATCTGTGGTTTTTACCCGACAACCTTCTGGATCACAGGCTTACTATCTCTAACCTATCTCTAATGATAGCTGTAGTTTMTATATCACTGATACAAATTGTTTCCTGCAGCTTCTGGTGCTTTTAGCACATGAAGCCGTTCTCTAAAAGGATCATGATGAGACCTTAAAGCCACAGCTGGTTTCACAGGTCGAGTGATGAACTTTGACAAAATAATAAGACCATTTTTGGAGTATAAGATGAAAATGGAATAATCTTCCACTTTTCAATATGTTTTTAAATGAAAGACAAGTTACTCAAAAGCACACTGACCCATCTGTGTGCTTTTTGGCTTTATTTAGATAGTGCAGGTCTTAATTTTCTCTGTTTTCCCAGTATAACCTCCCGTTGGAGCTCATCAACAGACAAAATCTTACAGAATGGATGGAGATCCTGAAGACAGTAGTGGACAGAGATGTGCCCCCAGTAAGAAACTTTATATTGTTTTAAGCTGCTTTAATATAGCTTAGCAACAAAAGCTTCAAATGATTTTTAGTTTAGCGTGAGCAGACCGTACCAACGTTGTTCATATCCGTGCAGGAGACGATGCAGATRGATGAAGATGAGCGACCCGAGCTGCCGTGGTGGAAATGTAAGAAATGGGCTCTACACATTTTGGCTCGGCTGTTCGAGAGGTAAAGATCCAAAAWTCCTCATTCCTTAACTTTAGAGATTAAAACTTTCCAGACTTATTTAATGTTTTGAGCAATCGTTCCTCTGCAGGTATGGAAGTCCAGGCAACACAACCAAAGAGTACACAGAGTTTGCTGACCTTTTCCTAAAGGAGTACGCAGTCCCTGCCCAGCAGGTAAAATGACCTGTTACTGCTCAATTGCTGTGATTTTTTTTTTTATGTGAACCATGTCAGTATAAGTAACTTCCTTTATGTGTATTTGTCCAACAGGTGTTGCTGAAAGTGTTATACCAGTACAAGGAGAAGCAGTACGTGGCTCCAAGAGTGCTCCAGCAGACACTCAACTACATCAACCAGGGAATAGCACATGCTCTGACATGGAAAAGCCTCAAACCACACATGCAGGTGAAAATACAACTTTAGCTGTGTAATAATTGTTTCCTGATTCTGTAAAAAGATGTTTTTTATTTTATTTTATGAAGAATTAATTTCTGCGAGAATTATATCTGTTTAAACCACAATCAGAGCATCAGATCTTATTTTGTCCCAAGATTTCTGTCTGATCAAAGCAGTGAAGCAACTCTTTTTGTCATTTATCTGTTGGCTCATCTGCAGCTGGTCCGTATTAAACCTCTCCGACACATCTCTTGTTTTTCCAGGGCATCATTCAGGATGTGGTTTTCCCCCTCATGTGTTACACAGATTCAGACGAGGAGCTTTGGCAGGAAGATCCTTATGAATACATCCGTATGAAGTTTGGTGAGCAAAGAGAGCCGGTGCCTGTAACTGGAAAGGAATTCAGTGCAAGCGTGGCGACTTTAATGGCTTCTCCGTGTTTCTGCTGTCTCAATTAGATGTGTTTGAGGACTTCATCTCCCCAACAACAGCTGCCCAGACGCTTCTTTTCACCGTCTGCAACAAGAGGAAAGAAGTTAGTTGACAATAATTTATGGTCTAATTCTTCCTGAATGGAAACTGATTAGATTAGAAACTGAAGAAATAATGAGCTCTGTTATTTCTTATCATTTCAGGTGCTGCAAAAGACAATGGGCTTCTGTTATCAGATTCTCACGGATCTCGCTTCAGACCCCAGGAAAAAAGACGGTGCCCTACATATGATCGGCTCTTTAGCTGAAATCCTACTGAAGGTGAACTGTTCTCAGCCTCTTCAACACAACACCCGATAATTACTGTTTTCCACATATTTTAAATAGCTGCAGTGTACTCTGATCCAAGCTAGTGAACATTTGTAACAAATGTAACAAAAAAAAAAGATGTGAGCAGCAGGTCTGCCTCAGTAGGGGAGAGGGGAAGAGGAGGGGCTGCTTCAGAACTGCTTACTGGGCCATAGAACCGTTTCAGTCAGACAGAACCAACAAGAATGAAGCAAAAATTAAAGAATTAAAGAAAAATCATAAATGCTAAATGCAAATAAATAATTATAGATTTACGTCTAAGATCATTTTATTATTTTAATCTATTTTCCTCATTCAGCAACATATTAAACTTCTGTTATGTTTCACTTATGACAAATACACATTTTTTTCAGTCAGTATTTAATACAGCTGGCATAAATTGTTAATATTTATGATGTGCTTCTGGTTTTTTTTTTTTAATACAACAGATTATTTAAAAAATCCATGTTATGAAAAGACCCTCTTGATTCAAGAGAAAACTGTTTTTTAAGAAAATGGCTGCTAATCAATTAATTATTAGTCGATGTATAAGATAAATCAACTTCAGATTAATTCATTAATCAATAACTTGCATCCCTAATTTATACAGGAATGAAATTAATTTTTATATACTCATATTTATGTAATTAAGCATTTTAATGATTTGGCCGATTAATCGAAAAAATAATCGACAGATTAATCGATTATTGAAAATAATCYTTAGTTGCTGCCCTACTAGGAGTGCAAAAGCGGGACAGGATGTGAAGTTTGGATTTAAAGAGACAGCCCCAAAACGAGTTGAACTGAGATGAAAAAGGGTTGAAAGAGGGGCTTGTGGAGTTACAATAAGGAGGAACAAAGCATTGCAGAGCCACTTTATATGGACCCCAACTGAGTGATTTAAATGTGCAGACTCTAAATTCTGTTCATGTTTTGTGAAGTATTTAACTGTGTGAAAGTTGCTCAGGGTTTGTTTTTTCTAATCCCACAGAAAAAGATTTACAAAGACCAGATGGAGTTCATGCTGCAGAATCATGTCTTCCCCTTGTTCCGCAGTGAACTGGGCTACATGAGGGCCAGAGTYAGTATCAATCACCAGACGTCACCTGCATCCACCTTCTTAAGCTGCACAGCTTTGTTTCAACTCGTCTCACCACATTGTGTGCATTTTCTTTTTTTTCCCTCCCAGGCTTGCTGGGTGTTGCATTACTTCTGCGAGGTGAAGTTCAAAAGCGATCAGAACTTGCAGAACGCTCTGGCGCTGACCCGGAARTGCCTGATCAACGACAACGAGATGCCCGTGAAGGTGGAGGCCGCCATCGCCCTGCAGGTCCTCATCAGCAACCAGGAGAAAGGTGAGCAGCACCGCAGCCGGCGAGCTCACCGAGCCGCTCGGGCTGCCGTCTGACCGAGGKTTTGTGTTCTTCAGCCAAAGAGTACATCGCTCCCTACATCCGGCCGGTGATGCACGCGCTGCTGAACATCGTCAGGGAGACGGAAAACGACGACCTCACTAATGTCATTCAGAAGATGATCTGCGAGTACAGCGAGGAGGTCACGCCCATCGCAGTGGAGATGACGCAGCATCTGGTGAGTGTCGTTTGTGTAGAGCGGGCGGGTCGGAGCTGTCTTTTTACCGGGTTCCCACAGGTCCTTGAAATCCTTGAAAGTTTGTGAATTTGAAAAAATGAATTCAAGGCCCTGGAAAGTTTGTGAAAAKAGCCAAAAATTACACTCAGTTTTTCATTGAATTTACATAATCAAACCTGTTTATTGGTAACATTCTGCGGTAGCAGTAGGTAATTGCGTGGTTCTTTAATTTGAGGAAATTGGAACTGGAAAGTCTTTGAAAGGTTCTTGAATTTGATGTTGACCAATGTGTGGGAACCCTGCTTAGTCATTTTGGCTGTTACTGTATGTAAACAAACATGGGGGATGGTTGGCGTTTGTAGGTTTTGCTACAAATTGTTAATTGAGGACACATTAATCACCAATATGAGAAACTAATAGCATGGATTTACTGTAGTTGTAATTTATTTATTTATTTTGCTTTTTAAAGGGGCAATATCGTGTAAAATCAACTTTTTTGAGTTTTATATCATGTTATAATGTTATTCTCTCATCAAAAACATGCCCAAAGTCTTGCTTTGACTCATTCTTGCATGTTTGAGAAATCCTGTAGTGTCCTGAGGCAGCCAGGCAGGGGAGCAGAAATGACTGGTTGGGATTAGAACCACCTTTTGGGACCAGCTCTTCCTCTGGGCTGTGTCTCCAAGCTGAGCTTCCTCATCAGAGAGCACACACTCCTACCCAGCCCCCTGCTGAAATGGGCGAGACAGAAGCAGAAGGAAATTCTTAAAGAGACAGAGGCCAATTTCAAGGTGTTAAGAAACAGTTATGATGAGAAGTCAAGTTTATTTTCTATTTAAACATATAAACAACATTTTAATACCAACTGAAGGTGACATAGATACTTTATTATGGTATAGAATTTAAATATATGCCTGAGAAACACATAATGTCCATAATATCTAACAGTCAGTCTTAAGGGGAACATATGCAAAATCTATTTTTTTTTAAGCTGATAAATACATTTTGTTGTGTACTTGGAGGCTCTAGGAGTGCAGAAAAGTTGAATTTAGTCTCTCCTGGTGCTTCAAAGGTATCTATATTTTGTTTGCGTCATATTTTTCAGCACGTTCAGCTTTCTCTATTTTCGATGCCATTTTATGAACTAGTACATCAAACCATCTGCGATGGAACTACCAAGTTAGGTCTGGACTTACAAACTACAGRTTCCTCGTTTTAATTCTCCTCTGGTTCTTGGTCAGATTCTGGTTCTGGGTCATACTCTGACTCCAACATGTATGGCTGGATAGACAAATCTTCTGTTGTTGACTTTTTTCAGTTTAATTGTAAATAAAACGTAGAGATGCACGATATATCYGTATTGATACTGTATCTGTATCGGACGATATTTGTCATTTTTTAGAATATCGGTATCTGTCCGATATGGAAAACTGGGCCGATATTAACGTCCAGTACTGATTTTTGCTCTTTGTCAGGCGATGACGTTCAACCAGGTGATTCAGACGGGGCCTGACGAGGAGGGGGGCGACGACAAGGCTGTGACTGCCATGAGCATCCTCAACACCATCGACACATTGCTAAGTGTGGTGGAGGACCACAAAGAGGTTAGCAGCAATAACCACAGAGYGCACTGCCCACACACACACACATGAACACACACTCAGCTGACCGCTCAACTCGGCGCCACTCCATRTGCACAAGCAGCTCTGGTTGTGTTGCAAGGGTTCCTGCCAACACGCTTACATCCACCCACCAACTCCTGGGAACACACTCTGTTCTCACCGTGTTCGAGATGACTCAGAGGCTGAGGCAGGAGCTAGAAATAGTGCCGGGGCACAGTTCCACCAAGTCTGCTGATGCACTCCCCGGTGCTCAGAGCCAGCYGACCATTAACCACTGTGTGGTGGCTGAGCAGTCGATCCAGGCTGAGGATGTGCAGTTATTTTTGTTTGACAAAGGAATTCAGGACATTGCATCTACTAATACAGATGTTCATAGAGTTTTAAAATGTATAAAAAAGTAGTAAAAGAAATTAGCAAAAATCAATCATGAAATATTGTGAGGCTATTCAAAGGTAGGGCTATTCAACTAAATTTCTCCGGGGGCCACAGTTACTGCAGACCAACAGCTCTGAACATCCAGCAGTTAAAGTTATTATGTAAATAAACCAAGTATTACAAAGATCTGTTACCTTTGAAATACCAGTAGTTTATTTTGCTGTGTTGTATCATGAATACAGCATACAGAACCCTATAAAAGTAGTGATAATTAAACAATATCAAAAAAAAAAAAGAACACATTTTGCCTCCTATTTGACTCTGACTTGCCAAATTTTTAAACCAATTTTATTTTCACTTTCATAATTTCATCTTCAACTGCTTATAAATTTAACTGTCTTGGATGTTCATAGAAATGGTTTTTACCAGCTTCTACACATCTGTCCAGCTAAAAGAACTTAGAGTAATTAAAGTAGAAAACCAGAGGTTTGGGCTTAAGAGATGAATAAACCAATTGGCGCGGGCCGGATGTTGAAAAGCCCTGTATTATGTTTAATTTAAGAATTTCTGTACACACTCTGATTTCTCATTGTTGCTTAGGTAATTAGACTGTTCATAGATTTTATATTTAATGCTTGTTTGATAGTTTTCCACTATTTAGACACATTTAAGTAATTTTAGAAGCCCTGTTGATTGTCAGAAAAGAAGAAATCTAATTGTGCCTTTCAAGTAAATTTTTATTCTTTCCATTTAGTTTTCTCCCATATTTTAAGGCTCAGCAGTTCATAATGAATTTGTTTACTAAATAGTAGGATACATTGTTAAACATTCTGACAGTTTGTGTACTTGTGTAACGCGCTATAGAGATAAAAGTTCTGCCTGAGCTTGTTGGCGTAGATAAAATTCCCATGACCTTTTAACCTTTTTACTGCAGATCACTCAGCAGCTGGAGGGCATCTGTCTGCAGGTGATTGGCACAGTTCTGCAGCAACATGTCTTGGGTAAGCACAACCGGTTCTCCCGGTGTTTCACATTCCACCTGCACCTCGCATTAAAACTCTCGTCAGCCAGCTTTTGAGATAAGCCGTCGACGATACACAGCCCCGTGTTTACCTCCTGTGACTCGGCGGCTTTCTTTCACTCTTCCCAGAATTTTATGAGGAGATCCTGTCCTTGGCTCATAGCCTGACCTGCCAGCAGGTGTCACCACAAATGTGGCAGCTTCTTCCACTTGTGTATGAAGTCTTCCAGCAAGATGGGTTTGATTACTTCACAGGTGTGTGCACTCACAGAACGTTTGCGTTAAATATGAAGCGTCTTTTAGTGCGAAGTGAAGACTCAAAAGCTGTTTGTAGGCTATGAGTTTACTGTAACAGTTTACAGTTGATGGTTTTTATTTATATGATTTTGCTTGTTTCGCAGATATGATGCCTCTCCTRCACAACTATGTCACAGTTGATACAGACACCCTCCTGTCTGACACTAAATACCTGGAGATTATCTACAGCATGTGCAAAAAGGTAAAAGATGCACCTGCTTTAAATTATATTAAAGTCAATGTAMCAAAGCAAAATCAGCTTTTTTTAAGCCGTTAAATGTGTTTTGTTGTGTACTTTGAGTCTCTATGAGTGCAGATTGCAGAAAAGTTTAACTTAATCCCTCCTAGTCAACGTAGATTTTTTTTTAATATATTGAGTTTGGGTCATATTTTTCAATCTGTTCAGAAAATGTTTTTGCGATGTAATTTCCAAATAAGTTCTGGATAGACACGTCTTCCCTCGTTGGCGTCTTTGTCTTTTATTAATTTTACTCCAATTAACCCTGAAAACGTGCATTAGTTTGCCTTCAGGCCCAGGCCTCCCTTGCAAAAGAGATCTGTGATCTCAATGGGATATGCCTGCTTAAAGAATGGTAAAACATTTCTGTGCTGCTATATAGTCGTAAATCCTTCCTATGAAACTAGAATTAAAGCGGGTGGGGGGGTGTTGCATTTAAAGAGACAGCTTCAAATCGGGTTGATCTGAGACATGCCTCAGAAAAGGGTTGTGGAGTTACAATAAGGAGAAATTAAACCAAAGCTTTGCAGTTCCACTTTATATAAAGTAGGATTTAAAGTGTCTGTGACATCAATATTTTATAATAAATATGAATGTACTTTTGGAAAGATAACATACTGTAAAAAATATTTCACACCGCTGAGATAAACAGTTGTTGAGATATTTGCATTTTCAGTAACAGGAAGTGATGTCAGAGGAGAACGTCTGAATGCAAAGAGAGCGAAAGAGAGAAAAATCTGATGTTTCTTTAGATTATTTTAATCACCATCATAGGTATATGAGAGTCAGAGTTCAAATAATGTTTCAWTAAATAAAAACCAGGAAGTTGTCTTTGATGTCACGTCCTGTTTCACTTAAGCTGAGGCAAATTCAAAAGAAAATATGCCAAATATGTGACACAGCAGGTAGAATCATGTGTATCATTTCTTAAATATAAATTAATTTCCTTTGACTTCTTGTATTTCACGTATATGCATGTCACAGGCACTTTAAAACCATGATATGTATTTAATCATGATGTTTCAAGTTAATTTAACTCYTGTAACTACAGATCCTGACAGGTGATCCAGGTGAAGACCCTGAGTGCCATGCAGCCAAGATGTTGGAGGTGATCATTCTACAGTGCAAAGGTCGCGGCATTGATCAGGTCAGTCTTTCATCTCCCACAAGTAAATTACAAAGCTGTTACTCTTTTAGCACAAARYGGAAATACGAAGCCGGGTTTTTGTTTGTTTAAACACATGAACTTGCTCCTGCAGGTCGTGCCCTTGTTCGTGGGCACTGCGTTGGAGCGTTTGACGCGGGAGGTAAAGACCAGCGAGCTGAGGACCATGTGCCTGCAGGTGGCCATAGCTGCACTTTATTACAGCCCCCCTCTGCTCCTCAACACCCTGGAGAATCTTCGCTTCCCCAACCACACGGAGCCCATCACCAACCACTTCATAACCCAGTGGCTTAAAGACGTGGACTGCTTCCTCGGGTGAGACTTTTTTTATTGTTGCCTTTCATAACACAAACTACAGCTCAGAGTTGMGCTTATTTGCAATAAATAAATTACACCTCAATATGCAGTTAATAATGAGATTCCTCTCCCCCTCTTCCAATAATAAAGAGTGATGACCATAGATGAGCACATATAACTTGTTTATTGACACATTCTGCAGGAATTAGTGACATCTAGTGGTGAAGTTGCAGATAACACTTAGTTACTAATTAATTGTTCAAACATGTTGCATAACGTGTGTGTGTGTGGGGGGGGGTTCCTACAATGTGGGTTATTTTTTTACAAAAAAAAGCAGCCAGGTGGGGACCGAAGTGAATCATGGGGACCATTGTCAGGTCCCCACGGGTCCAAATGCATGTTACAGGTGTGGGGTTAGGTTTAGGACCAAGGTTTAGGTTAGTTTTAGGGTCAGTTAAGTTTCTGTGGGGTTAATTTGTGTGTGTGTAATGTGAATGTTTATATAAAACAAATGAAAGGTAGCAGAAGACAAAATCTTATATCTGCCCCTTTTTTCTCAGATAAATAAGTTTAATCAAAATAAACTTAATTTCAAAAACAAAAAAAAGAAAAAACTAAGTTTTGACTCCTCCTTGAACAACAAATCGTACATTATATTGTTAGATATTTCTGCAACAAATTAACATTTATCATTTCTGTAT